GAAAACCCACGAGTTTGGACAGGCGACCCTACTCCTTGTCACGTACAACCGGGGATTCGAAACCACGCCAGTTGACACAATGACAGGCCTTATGATACAGCGCGCACGTGCTAACCATTCGGATACGGAATTTTTCCCACCCATATCGTCACGAGATACGTTGCGTCCATGCAGTTTTAGAGTTTTGGCAGATTTTCGCGGAGCTGAGCGTATTTCTATTACAGCATGATGGCAGATATCTACCAAGATCACCATCAGTACCAGACACGTGCCTAGCCTAAAATTCCTGGAAGGAGTTAAGTCGTTCGACAGTCGCTGAGCAATTAAAAAATATATTTATGTCGCATCTTCTTAACCAGCGGCTGCCAGGCAGGATACGCCCACATTTTCGAGAGATGGATAGAGAACAAGCTAACAAGAAAGTGATTTTTCCTACTATCAAGGGCCATAATTCAGGAAATTACAATTCAATATGCGTGAATATCGAAAGGAACTGAGATCTTTGTGTTATAAACTAACATTTCAAGTTTCAACAAAATCGGATAAAAATTATGACCTCTATAGGGCCCACGACCTTGATATACCATATTTTTACGCTATTTGAGAACGAACGGCGGCCATTTTTTCTGTCAATTTTGGACCGATTTTTTAAATCGGATAAAAATTATGACCTCTATAGGGTGCACAAGCTAAAGACCCGATTTTTTTGGACAATCATGGGCCATAATTCAGGAAGTTACGGTCCGATATGCGCGAATATCGAAAGGAACCGAGATCTTTGGGTTATAAACTTACATTTCAAGTTTCAACAAAATCGGATAAAAATTGTGACCTCTATAGGGTCCACAACCTTGATATACCATATTTTTACGCTATTTGAGAACGAACGGCGGCCATTTTGTCTGTCAATTTTGGGCCGATTTTCACGAAATTCGAACTCACCCGTCCTTAGGGTGTAACGGTGAAATAATAAAAGGGCTTTTTAAATCGCATAAAAATTATGACCTCTATAGGGTCCACAAGCTAAAAAGAAAGCGATTTTTTGTACAATCAGGGGCCATAATTCAGGAAGTTACTGTCCGATATGCACGAATATCGAAAGGAACCGAGATCTTTGGGTAATAAACTTACATTTCAAGTTTCAACAAAATCGGATAAAAATTGTGACCTCTATAGTGTCCACAAGCTAAAAACGTGATTTTTCGTACAAACAGGGGCCATAATCCATGAAGTTTCGATCCGATACATGCCAATATCGAAAGCAGCCGAGATCTTTTGGAGATACACCTATATTTCAAGTTTCGTCAAAATCGGATAAGAATTGTGACCTGTAGAGTGTCCACAAACAAATTGCGGACGTCCGGACGGACAGGGGCGACGACAATATACGTCCACATGAAAATGTGGGCGTATAAAAATCTTCGACTTCGACTCGACAGCAATTTTTGGTTTTACTAAATTATCATATCAGATTACTTTATACCCCTTTACCATAGAATCACATCCTCCCAAAATTTAGCACGTAGATTAACCAGCATACAGACAGGGAAAATATGAAAATTCCGAGAAAAACTCATCGAAAATAATGATTAAATTCCAGTCTTTATCGTGGTTAAAATCACACCAAATATACAACTTTGTGTTCTAGGTTGCACATAGATTCATAAACAAGCGGTTGCCATACGAGATACACCCACCTTTTGCAAGAGATGGACAGGGAACCAGCTAAAAAAAGTGATTTTTTTTCAAACAATCAGGGATTATCAGGGGCCATAATCCAGGATGTTACGTTCTGACACGCGTCAGTATTGAAAGGAACCACGATTTTAGGGATATAAACATATATTTTAAGTTTCATCAAAATCGAATAAAAATTGTGACTTCTAGTGGGTCCACACTCCACAACCTTATTATTCTATTTGCGTAAAGGGGAGCGGCCATTTTGTCAGTCTCTGTCCGATTTCACGAAATTTGAACTCAACCATTATGATGGTGTAATGGTGATAGCTTTGAACGGTTTTTAAAATCAAATCAAAATTGTAGCCTCTGAAGGGTCCACAAGCTAAAAACGTGACTCTTCGTACAATCAGGGGCCACAATTCAGGCAGTTACGATCTGATATAAATGCGAATATCAAATAGAACAAGGTATAGTACTACATCTATTTGAATTAGAAAACTCATGTCAGCAATACATTGCACAAGTTAGGCAGCTTCTCTACAAAACCTGTTAAAGAACGCACCCAGCTTTCAAATTGGTTACAAATTGATTAAAATGTGCAAATCAAACTATTAAGAAATAGATTTACCTTTTCAGAAACTGCCAGCACAAAATATTGAGCAGATTGGAAATTATTATCTAAATCGTTCAACAAAATCTGATTTAAAATAAAAGAGATTTTTGGTGATTGAGATGAAAGTTAAAATTAATCTTAATGAAACTATTACTTCCTCTTTAAACAAACGGATGTCATTTTGTTTGTCTGTAGATTTTACATTATAAGCATGTCAAAAGTTGACTAATTTTGGTATAAGAGAATAATTGTAGGCTTTCACACTAGGAAGTGACTAAACTTAGAAGTACAAATAAAATCATGAAATTATAAAATGTGTGACTCAATCCACCACACATTGAATAGAGACGATGATTGTTTTACGATATACATGTAGTATTCATAATACTGAGAATACATGTATGTAGACATTGCAGAATCCTATTGATCATCAGTTAATACATTGTGTAATAAACCAATCAATAAGCAGTACGCATACACTTTCTCGTTGTCATTTTAAACCAAAAGAATAAAATGAAGTGATACATGTAGTAGTTTAAAATATGGTGCAATTTCAGAAACTTTACCAGCGGCTGCCAGGCAGGATACGCCCACATTTTCGAGAGATGGATAGAGAACAAGCTAAAAAGAAAGTGATTTTTCCTACAATCAAGGGCCATAATTCAGGAAATTACAATTCGATATGCGCAAATATCGAAAGGAGCCGAGATCTTTGTGTTATAAACTTACATTTCAAGTTTCAACAAAATCGGATAAAAATTGTGACCTCTATAGGGTCCACAACCTTGATATACCATATTTTTACGCTATTTGAGAACGAAGGCGGCCATTTTGTCTTTCAATTTTGGGCCGATTTTCACGAAATTCGAACTCAGCCGTCTTTAGGGTGTAACGGTGATATAATAATACGGTTTTTTTTAAATCGGATAAAAATTATGACCTCTATAGGGTCCACAAGCTAAAAACGCGATTTTTCGTACAACCAGGGGCCATAATTCAGGAAGTTACGGTCCGATATGCGCAAATATCGAACTTACATTTCAAGTTTCAACAAAATCGGATAAAAATTGTGACCTCTATAGGTTCCACAAGATAAAAACGTGATTTTTAGTACAATCAGGGGCCATACTCCATGAAGTTTCGATCCGATACATGCCAATATCGAAAGCAGCCGAGATCTTTTGGGGATAAACCAATATTTAAAGTTTCGTCAAAATCGGATAAGAATTGTGACCTGTAGAGAGTCCACAAACAATTGTGGACGGACGGACACGGGCGACGGCATAATACGTCCACATGAAAATGTGGGCGTATAAAAACGCTATGGCGCCACATTTCAGCGTCTAAAAGTAGCAAAGTTGACTGTAAAAGACGAAGGTGTTATACGGACCTTTTCCGTATGAAATCTGTTCGATACGTGCTGCCGTATCCGTGTGCCGTATCACGTATGAGAAATACAAACACATTGATGACGGCACGCGCAAAATCAATACGGATAATTGAGACAGTCCTACCGTCACGCATCGCACGATAGTGGGTGCCTAACATAATAATCAGAGATTTTACTGCATTTAACAACCACATAATTAAGTTGCTGGTTGAGGTTCAATTACGATTTCCGGTTTTGTTTTATAAGCAGATTTTGTAGTTATGGCCAAATATGATATTCTACAATATAGTACTATTTAACCCACCCTTCCTGCTTAATACGTTAATAGGATGCCACACGTCTCTGTAGAGGATAACTGCTTGTGTTTGATTATAATTGTGGTGGTAATTGTATTGTTAACACCAAGACCTAGTCTTCTGTTACAGTTTATAATTTGGTTGTATATCATAAAAATATTAATAAATGGGTCGCCTGTCCAACCTCGTGGGTTTTCTCCGGGTCCTCCGGTTTCCTCGCACTGCTAAAGACCCCTACGCGCAAGCGAATTATTGAAATAAAATTAAACCAGGTTAGTCCCGAAATGACCTAGTTTGTATCGAGTGGGCGTTAAACCCCATTCTCTCTCTCTCTCTCTCTCTCTCTCTCTCTCTTTTATAAGCGTAGCCACGGTTCAATTTTATTTCAATAACATGCTTGGGCGTAGGGGTATTTAAATGTGGGGGGATCTGGAGAAAACCAACGCACGTGCGGGGAATCAAAGCATCGGCACTGACATGATGATCAAAAGCGTAAGCGTTAATCTATTGCCCCCCCCCCCCCACACACACACACACCAACCCGATGGTCTGTGGTTGACTATAGGCTTGTCATATAAATAGATGTATATACCATAGTTTATATAACATTTGAAGTCCAAATAAAGATCTGCAATAGGGAGATGTATCTCTTATATAATGCATCTTTGATATGTATTCCACTTATCTATTTTCAATTGCTGTTAATATTTGTAAATAATTCTAAATTGGTTTAATTATTGCTGAGAAATGGTGAGTATGGTGTATATCGATTATGGACCGCTGTTTTCATTGGTCTATATACAAAGAAATCGAAATAGTCAATACTCCTGTGGTGCCACTTATTTCGAACTTTATTAAACTTCTATTCCTCATTTAAACTGGTGCCAATCCGACTGATTGATCAGAAACACGACTTACTTTACAGTAGTAAATGTACCAATGTCAATGGATAGTTATCTGATATTGACGTAACCATTGCTTGAGGAATATTATATATCATACCTTACATGCTAATACAGAATTATAAAAGTGTGCTATCTTTATTTCTTTGGTTTCAGAATTAAAAAATATTAAACTAATGATAACATGTTAAAGTGAAAGCAAAACACAATCTTCGATTTGAATTTGAAACTGATACTTGGAAGTCTTTTAGATACTAAAGTAGTAGATCTAATGAAAATTCCCCTCATCGTAAAGTTTAATGCTAGTTCGATTCATTGAAAACATATTGTCATTTGGCGTTCGCATAAATTAAATGTCTTTTTCCAATCAATATTCTGGATCTATATAATATATGGCTCCACGGACGTTATTCTCTAACAGTAAACATTATACAAGAATCTGTTTTTCATAATTATCATGTCTTGTTTCAATCTCGATCTGTCTCCCTGAAGAAAAAAGAAATTTAACTTTATTAAAAGGCATCGGTTTAACTAGATTTTCACTTTGGATTAGTGAAACCTATTCGGGGCAATTTCGTATAAGGAATCTAAAGAATATTTAGAGTCTTATATATCGCTTTGGAGATGAGTTTTACCTAATCGGCGGCGTTTCTTTCTCTACTCTTCGGGGTTCTTTTGAAATGATCTCGGCGCATTTGTCTTGTCTTAGGTTCAAGCTATAATTATATTTCTTACAAATAATCGCATATTGTTAATCGGGCTTTAGAAAATAGTGTTATACTTACATTGTAAGCCGATAAAAAGCAACACTCCCCACAGTACATATCCAAGCATCGACAAAGCTGTTAGGAAACCGTAGAATATCACCGACAATTTGATCACGGCTTGAATCAGCACGACCAAAACTAACACAATAAAACAAATTAAACATAACACTAAAATCTTCTTCTGCCATTCCACATCCTTGACGTTTATTTTACTTAAAAAATAAACATGAAAAATATATCCGAACACTAAAACAGAGCTGATGGCAATGTTGAAAATGAATAAGGCTTTCTTCGCTGTTTGGTCATCTTCATGGCAATTATATTGTTGAGAACAATCCACTGTTGTAAAATAACAATATAATGGTGAATATAGTTAGATACATAACGTTAGTTGTTCAGGATCTAATTGTCACATATTTATATTAGCTCAGTATCTATGCAATGGGGTCTCAAACGGTCGGTTATAGGTCTAGATCGACTTTGAGAAAACCACCGAATCTCGTATAATATCTATTAAAACATACACACCAGTGACACACTAAATGAAATGGGGTTTAACATATTACTTTTAGACATGGACTGGGCTAATCAAGACATACATACGGGATACTCCTATTTTGAATCCCAGCTGTCAGGGGGTTCCTTTGCGTACACGGAACCTCATCCATCGAAACGACTGGACAATGCTCCCTGTCAGACCCCCAGTCTTGCTTCATTGACAAGGGGAAACCACGTCGTATAAACAGGAAAACTTTCTCGACCAACACCTGGAGCGAACCTGAGACCTCCGCGAGAGCGAGCCAGCGTCCTACACACTGAGTCACCAGGTCTCCCAATGATAATTGTTATTTTAATACGTATAATGATAATCAGAGAAACAGTAGGGTTTTTTTTACATTTCAATTGCGTTACAACAGTATAAGTATACAAATAAATAATTGTATCTAAAACTTACTTCTTAATGAGATGTAATATTCAGTTTGTTTTCCAGATAAATCTATATCATTAAACTCTGAAGTTATACGACGACCACTTATTAACTACTTATATACAGACATCCGGGTGTTAAGCATTTCATAATAATATATAGACAATAATTCTACTGTAATAATAACAACATTCACAGCCGTAATTTACATCCTATATAAAACAGGGATATCTGAATTATGTACTTAAAGAGGCCCCACTTCCATCATTTTAATAAATGTAATTAATTATAAATTTGATATTTATGAAAATAACCCCAGGCTAGCAATCCACTAATTATCTAATTTGAACATCGCAAGTGAACCAGGTTGCAAAAGTGCCAGTCTCCCTTTAAATGATAAAATCAATAAAAAAGGGATATCCGAATTCTGTGCTTAAAGAGGCCCACTTTCACCAAGTTAATGTATAATTAATTGTAAATTTGGTATTTATGAAAATAACCCCAGACGAGCATTCAACTAATTATCTAATTTGATCATCGTCAATGTACCAGATTGCAAAAGTGCCAGTCTCTCTTTAAATTGTCGATGCTATTCTTAGCCTGTCATGTCAAATCATAAAAGTCTGTTAACGCAATGCTTCGGTTATATAACTCATTTACTTTACTATGGGGATGAAATGAAGTGTGGTTTAATGCACGTCCTCGGCATATTGCGCCAATGATATGGGGACTTCGACGAAACCACTAAATAATGATTATCACATTAATAAATCGTCTTTACCATGGACATGACAATGTATTAATTTTGTCTATTCTTTTTCGAATTCCTAATATCAAGGAATTGTTACGCACCCGACCCATTCTCGATATTTCGATCTTTAAAATTGTATTTAGCAAATTATAATGATTATATTTTGACGTAAAGATAACACCATCAACATTGATTGAATTGGGCCAATACTGAATTTTAATGGATATTGAATTCTAATTTAATGCCGAATATTGTAGATAATAATGGCTAGGGATGTACGCCCTTCAATGGTGAGTAATTTATATAACTGTATATCAGTGCAGCAAACAAACATGCCATGCATCAAATTTAACAATTGATTTCCTTGTGGGAATCATACTGTCAACCGTATTTTATAAGGCCTTTTCTATGAAAGCTTAATAACGAAATATTTTAGGGGGTTTTCTCCTTTATTTCCTATTTTAAATTTTGAAAAAATAATTTCTATTTTTAATTTTGTAGAATAATTTTTTATTTCCTATTTTTATTAATAATATTGTAAATTCCTTTTTAATTTGTAAATTCATTTTTAATTTGTAAATTCATTTTTAATTTGTAAATTCATTTTTCATCGTAAATTCATTTGTAGAATACTTTTTAATTATGTAAAAATAATTTCTATTTTTAATTTTGTAGAATAATTTTTTATTTCCTATTTTTATTAATAATATTGTAAATTCATTTTTAATTTGTAAATTCATTTTTAATTTGTAAATTCATTTTTAATTTGTAAATTCATTTTTAATTTGTAAATTCATTTTTCATCGTAAATTCATTTGTAGAATACTTTTTAATTATGTAAATTTGTTTTCAATTTTGTAAATTTGTATTCAGAACCAACATCTTCCACAGTAATAGGCCTAGTATTACAGAATACCCTGTCGCCATGTGAACCACGGTGGCTTAGTAAGACGCTGACTCGCTAGCCTGGAGGTCTCGCATTCTCTCCCGGTGTTAGCCGAGAAAGTTCTTCGTGATTTTTCGGCGTGGTTTCTCCTTGTCAGTGGTGCAGGAGGGGGGGAGGGGCTGACGAAAAAGCGATGCCCCGTGTACATATTGGCATTCGATATAAAAGTAGTTCATAGCGCCACTGTCCGTGAAACATTTTCCCCTTATAGCACACTGTATGACGTATGCTCGTCTTCATTAGCCTACATAAAAGCACATGTATGTATATTAAAGATGCATTATGTGATGGCTAAACCTGCCTATTCCAGATATTTAAAACATGACCATTTATTGACTATAGGCCTACTATCATAGATAGACCTGTCCTGTATTGATTATGAAATATCGATGGGCAAAGGACTGAAGCACATTCAACCAGAGTCGGAGGCAACTCAGTCATTTGTCCTCACCTTGATCTGTCAGTGACACTTCTTATAAATAGTACACACATGCGAGAATAGGGGATGTGATATGCTGGGCCTGTAACGGGACTGTCTTTTGTGGCTCGCCAAAGAGCTAAGAGCAATCCTCCTAGTGGGCTCGTCTCCATAAAGTTCTAGCATTCGACCAAAAGAAATGACACAAGGCATTAATAAATAATCAATAAGTTTTATTTATACATGTATTAACAGGCCACTATATATAATAAATAAGGCTACTACCGGTATTAGTACTAGTATGCTATTAGGCTAGATTACTAAAGTAAAAATAAATGTATTTCCAATTGGCCTAATGATAATGATAATATGTCAAGGATACCGCGATACGGTAATAATATGTTATTAATAATATGACAATATTAATAGTATAGAATTGTATTCAAGTATGCATCATTATGTTCTTTTGTCTTAAGACTAATTCAAGACCTGGCTAAGTTACTTCTACTTAGCCATTGTGTGGCTAAATACTAAAATAGTCGGAATAGGACTAGGCTATCGCAGTAATCGGTAGACTAGGCTAGAAGCGCCGCGAATAATAATTAAGCGGCTATAAGTATCATAATATATTATATAATTTGTAAATCGATTTAATATTTAGACTGACTCGTTTCTTACCATTAAGTCTTCCATATTGTAGAACTTAATAAGTCGTAATTAGAGTCAATTAGACTGTAATAACTGTTGATCACTGTCTCTTAGCAGACGTGAATACGAGCCAGGGCATAGTGCGCCGAAACAACCGAACGCGGTTGCTTATATAACCTTCCATAGATATCACGTGACGATATTATCCAATCCCTGCATGGCATTTCCTGTCGTCCAATGGGAATGCTTGAAATGGCACGCGCTCGTCTTCTAACAGTTAACATAGCGGTAAATGGAAGCGGAGAATCTCAAGCTGTATCTCCTAAATACGTAAGTTTAATGAACTATAACGTAAGTTATAAAAGTAATTCATGTACAAGGAGTTCATTAAAGATATTACAAATTATTGACAATATGTATTTATTGTGAAAATAAGCTAAATTCCACCATGAAAGTACACTTCCGGTTTAACGAGACCGGCGAAAGGCCTAGAGTAGATGTAAACAGAGTGATTGAAATGACAGCTAGCCGTCTACATAATTCGTAACATTACCCCCTTCCCTGAAAAGCATTCGTCCCGAATGACGATACATTACTATAACTGAGAAAATGCAAGTGCACAAAAATACATTACAATAATTATGTCAATAAACAATAGAGCATGCAATATTATAATATAACATTCAGTAAGAATTTAAAGAATAATGTAATTATTACCAGTATTTATAATTAATTATACTTTAACTTTAGGATAAGAAAGAATATGACTCAACAATCCAATTAACAATGAAACAATAACAACAGGAGGGCCTTGGAATTCGACAAGGTAAGTTAACAATATCTGAACCTACTACATGCAATTAATTAATTATACAATACCACTACAGTACTAGAAAAGCCTAGTCGAAACGTCGCACAGTAATAAACAGACTAATATTGTTCCATATAATTTGTACCTGTGTATCTAAGCTAGTAGTAGGCCTACATTTATGCAATTTAAATAGCCTATGGTAAATAATATATATATAACTCTTTTAAATTGATTGACAATAAGAACAACAATATGTAGGAAGGCTTATAATATAAAATACAATTGTTTTCTAAGGCTTAAATTAAATATAATAAGTCATCAATACGAGTTGGTTTACAATTACATAGACCAGCAGCATAATTCTCTCATCCTGGAGCGTATGACAGTCTGTAATTCAGAAAGTTCGTAATAGATGGCTTCGAAGAGCAGTTGTTGCAAATGATGTTGCTGATTGGGTAGTATCCTGTTAACATCACTATTCTCTTTATTTCTTAGGTAATAAAGTATAACCATAAAGTGGCGAGGATTTCTGTCTATTCTGTAAGTATTAATTCCATCAATAATTTCAGGCTTTACAGGTGAATCTAGTTGTACTAACTCGGCCAGCAACGAGTTTGGATCAGATGTTAATGTGAATTTTGAAGTAGTAAATTTAAACCCCCCAACAATCAAGATGACTGGTGACTGCTGTTCTTTAATGGCAGCTAGTTTTAAATCTGTTTTATTCGTTGGTGTGTAAGTTGGATGACCTGGTGATACTGCATGGGATACAGACAATGAAGGAAATGATGTGGAAGATGGTGCTAGGGGAATTGTGTCAGCTTCTATTGAAATTGGTGGACAGCTAATCGGGGAAAGAGGAGATGGTGGTAAGGTTGGCTGAGGTGCTGGAGGCTGTGGTTCTGGGATGTCTCTCTTGACTTTAATTGCTCTCAGTCCTGGGCTTAATGGGTTGTTGTCATAAATTCCTACAAGAATTTTACGTTTTCTTTGAGCATTTTCCCTCTTGACTATATTTGCAGTATTTTCTTTTTCAGTGACTAGTGGTACAGTGATTTTTCTTCTGGCCTCCTGCCTCTCCTGTTCCGAGACGGGGCGTCTCAAAACGGTACTTATACTGTTTCTCCTGTTGTCTCTGAAAAGTCAATATTCTTTTTGCTCCTCCGGTCCGAATTTCATATTCTGTCGTTTTATAAGGTTCATGTTTGACCCCGGACATCTCTGGTGCCGCAACCCCCTATTACAAAGACCACTACATGATGAGCATTGGTAGGTAAATCCAGAATGCGCAGCAGACAAGTGTCTTTCTACTGCTTGTAGAGTAACACACTCCCTCCCATTCTGTGGACAAATCTTGCATCTGTATCTGGTCACCCGAAGAATACATTGTAATAAAGCGTGTAAGAATTTTTTTGTTGTTTTTTTTTGTCTGCATTTTACTCACACTGTTTTATATAACTAGTGTTTGGTTCGAAAATTATATTATCACTGCTTCCCAAGGTTTCCCTTGGACTGTTTTATTTGTACATTCATAACCATAGAAATTTTAAGTTTATAATTTTCTTTATTTTATTATTAATAATTTAATTTTCGCCTCTTACTCCAACATATGGTTTTAAGTAATTGTGGTGAACAATTTTAATTTTTGTACACCTGTCTCTCCTTATTTTATAAACAACATCATTGAGTCTTTTTATAATACGAAATGGGCCTTCCCAGGGACAACTCAACTTGGCCCCACTGTCTCGACTACGAAGGTTATACCACCAGACATAGTCCCCTATATTATATTTATTTAGCTGTATGCTACGGTCATGTTCTTTCTTCATGACATTAGCGGATAATTTTAGCCGCTTACGAACAAAATTATGTATTTGATTTAAATTTTCAGAAAGTTCTGATACATATTCTGATTTGCTTTTTATTCTACTTTCAGGTTCAACCTTGCCTAAGATCAGATCAACAGGAAGTTTAATATTTTTACCGAAGACAACCTCATTAGGTGTAACTCTGGTCGATTCATGAACTGATGAACGATATGCTGCCATTTTCAACAATCAAAAATGCAAACCAAAAGTCCCGAAAGTTCCCGGGTAGCGAGGTGGTTGGCGCCAAAGCCCTGTATAGGGAAAGTTACGACAACTCATTTACAGGCGCCATTTTGGGTCCCCACTATGACGTCATGTCGTCATATAGCTGTACTTCCCGCGATGCTTTCGAGCTTCGCTCTATATAATAATGTATTTTAAATTCCTCAAACAGAGTGGTTATGCAAGCAAAATGTGTCGAAAAGTCAAATTTGACAAACATCAATTAAAAAATGTATTTTTCATTTGGTGGCCGGCATTTCTTTCAAAATGACTGACAATTTTTTTTTTTTTTAAAAATGCCCCCCCCCCCCCCCTTCTTCAGTACTGGAATTAAACTCAATAATCTCTGATGCCTTTTCGGCGCTCATCTTTTCTTGTTTTACCTGCTGTACTTTTTCTTGTGTTTTTTTTAAAAATAGTCGCCGTTCACACTGACTAAATTAGAAACCATAACCCATCTCCTTCAGTTTCTTTGCGCCAACAAAAACTGTCTGTCTTCTTCAGTGGTTATCAGTGACAGTGCATCTGGGTGATCAATGTCGAATAAATCGTCCAAATCGTCACTGAATTTATCTTCTTTTTCCTGTAGCGCTTTAGATCTTTTCTGTTTATTTTCTTTGGGTTTTTTTTCAGTTTGCATGGAATACTAGTATCATATCCGCCACTATTGTAGCACTCTCCCTGACAGTTTTTCTTTCATTCTGATTGTGATGAAAAAATACTTTCAACACTTCACGTTTTGAGGGTAATTTGCAGCCGTCTATCAGTGAAGGTTTTCATTAATTCACAAACATAGAACGATGTCGTATTTCGGAAAAAATCCACCACTATAATGTCATTGAATACCCTTCGCGTTCATAGCTGAATGCCAGACCCGAAAGTAATAACGGTTGTCATTAACTATCAAGTTGACGATACAACAACTATACAAAAAATATCTTCTACAAACAACATCACCAGCGACGACTACAGGTTTAGGGAAAAGGTGCAGTTTTCCGGAAAAGTCTTTATTTCATCAATTAATTGTCGAACCACTGTATAAAACACGGGAATCACGTTTGTAGCTGAGTAAATATTTCTTTCATCTTGTTTACATTGTAATTCAACAGGAAACATTTCCTTTTATGTAAAGCGTTTTTTCCATAAAATTAAAAAAAAAATAAAAAAGGCAAAAAATCACATTTTGTTCAAACTTTGATGGATGGTAGCATGCCCTCTAAAAAATTTGTTATTCTTTTATTTATTTATTTTTTCTTTTCCTTTTTGATCAATTCCAACATAACTTTTGCAAAATGGGGCCAGGATAACGGGTATACGCCATACAGTGTGCTATGAGGGAAATTTTGCCCGGGCAGCGGCACTGTGACCTACTCTTATATCGAATTCCAACAGATCTTTTACGTGCACGCCTATGTATTCACGGGACCTCGGTTTTTCGTCCCATCCGAACGACTAGACAGCTGTCCTTGTCAGGCCCTCCGTCCTGCACCACTGACAAGGTGAAAACACGCCGGAAAATCCCGATGAACTTTCTCGGCCAATGCAGGGATCGAACGCCCGACCTCCAGGCTAGCAAGCCTACGTCTTACCCACTTAGCCCCGTGGCTCCGGCCTGTCAGTAAACTAGATCTGTGTGTTACGAAAAAGACATGTTAATTTTACCTAATTTGGTAACCTATGTATCCAGTTAAAACGAACTGTTGCATTGTTATTCCTATGTGAAATCATAATCTGAGTGAACTAAAGAAAAAAAAACACTACGTGGAAAGGAATCCTGAGAAAAGAATTGCAAATGTAACCAGAGGGAGAGAGAAATGGGGTTTAAAGTCCACTCGACACAAACTAGGTCGTTTTGGGACTAACACATGGTTCAATTATGTTTCAATAATTCGCTTGCTCGTAGGGGTCTTTAGCGGTAGGAGAAACCCCACGGGGTTGGAAGGCGACCCTGCTCCTTGTCACATACAGCCGAGGAATGGAAACCACGCCAGTTGACTCGATGACAGACCTTATGATACAGTGCGCACGTGCTAACCAGGGACAATAGTAGACGAGCACAGGGCTAATACAATCTGTAGCAGAAGATAGTATGTATCACACGGCGGCTGTGGGAGAGGTTTTTGGAGTTGTACTTTCCACATCTAATCAGCGACACATAGTGTTGCATGGGACTTTCACCTAAATAAGCATTTGTCCAAAACCTGATGGCAACAGGTGCAGGGCTGCCCACAAATACAGTCTGCCTTGTATAGTTGTCCCAAAACATAATAATTGTATTACCTGCACTATGTGGAAATCCCCATTATATTGTATAACACTTGCGCGTGATAAGCAACAAGCAGTAGCATGATTCCTTATAAACCTTTGTCATTCGCTACATACATTTATATTTCCCTTGTCAGCGGTGCAGGGCGGAGCGCCTGTCAATGAATTCGATATAATCGCTGCCCGGGCAAACTTTCGCTCATAGCACACTATATGGCGTATTCCCGTCTTCATTTGGAACAGAACATAGGACGTTAAACCTCATTTCATTTCAACTCTATCTAGTTCATCACCTGATTATGGTTCTGGTTAACCACTCAGATGGAGTGGTGGGGGGATTTCAACGCTGTATAAATCATCATACGATGGTTGTCCTGGCTGATCCATCTGATGGGGTGGTAATTGATCACCCTTACTCGCAGATGATGGTCCTGGTTGATCACACTATGAGATGATGAGAAGATTTCAACTCTTATCTAGCTCACCATACGATGATTGTCCTAGTTGATCACCCTGATTTGGTCACAAGTTTCTTACTCGCAGATGCTAACCCTGATTGATCACTCTGAAGTAAAAAGCAGGGAGTATTAAAATGAATCTGTTCGTCTGTAACCTTTTGGAACATATGTGTGCTTCACTAATAAGTATATTCTGCTCACATTAATCACTGATAAGCAAACAAACAATGCTTTATAAAAAGATAAATTAAATATACAATCAAAAAATGTGTGTCACCTAATTACTTTATAAATTTGGTGGTGGACATCAGCCTCACTGTTAGCTTGTTTCTCTATGCATGATTTATTCCCAATATTCCTATGAAAGTGACTTCTTTCTTCATTTAAATTTGTATTTGAGTATCTCAAGTAGGAACCGTGAATTAGATAATTAGATTTGGGAAATCAAAAGTTTGGGCTTTTCTCAATGTGCTACTCAAAGCGTTGGGGTTCAACCAACAAATATTTGCTTCTAGTCAGTGTTAACAACAAAAGTTATCATCCAATCCATATTAAAGTAGCTAAGTCTCTAACTCAATATCATCCAAATTCTTCGACATTGAAAACACAAATTATTTGTCAATTTAAATCAACATTGATGTTGTGATCTTACCGGGAAAAGATGGGCTTCTGATACCCAATATTTACGACAAAATAAACATTTTACCATTGGTACACGAATCGTGTACCATAATGCGTTTCATCGCCATTTGTAACAAGACACTCGAGGCTAGGCATATTCCACAAGTCATGTCAAACGGTGACGTCATATTCTTATCTGGAGAGCATGCGCAACAAATACTATCGGTGTAGACTGGAATAACAAGAAGCTAGAGATTGCCATTCAGTCGAGACTTCTGGTGATTAGAAATTACAGTAAAAACAGAAACGATTGAATGTAAATCAGTTTATATACATTCATATCACATTATTACATGTGTTGCGACCCATTTTTGTCAATATCGAGATCCCAAATATTAGCGACTTAGCTCCTTTAAATTTATATGTATTATTTGAATTAGTAACACAAAAAAGCGTCATGTATTTCACCATTTCCGTTAATAACTTCTAGTATTACTACCCTTCTTCACTTTGTTGAACCCTGTAAACGCTCTAATGACAAAAACCATATGTATCATTTAGAATAATGAAACGAAGAAGCCTATTGGAATTCAACAATTCAACAATCTATCTTTTTATATAAACAAGGCCTTTGTAATTACTATTAATTTGATTGTGGGTCCACATGTAACTATTTCAATTTTAAGTGATTGCCTATAATATAATTAATAAATTTAGATTATCAAACAGATATTGTGTCTTCATTGTGTGAGACGTCATGGCACGAGTGTAATAAAGGCTAAATAATGGTGTTTGTAAGCTAGGAGTAACAGTATCTACTCCACATTGTATTTTCATCATGTTGGCATTAAGAGCACATACTATGTGGGAGGTGGGGTATAATATTTGGTATTGGCGACAAATACAAAATCCCTTGGCAATTGGAATTCGAAGAAGAGTAGACAAAAAATGCCGCCACCCTGTTTTAGAAAAAATATGCCATTATGTTGGTCTCCAAATGATCTAAGTGAAGTGTAGATAAGCAATTAGGGGATCACGTGGCTAAGTGGGTAAGACGCTGGCTCGCTAACCTGGAGGTCGGGTGTTCGATCCCTGCATTGGCCGAGAAAGTTCATCCAGATTTTCCGGCGTGGTCCCCCCTTGTCAGTGATGCAGGACGGAGGGCCTGACAAGGAAAGGACAGCTGTCCTTTGGCAGTTGGAATTCGATATAAGAGTAGGCGATAGTGCCGCTGCCCGGGCAAAATTTCCCCCATCGCACACTGTATGGCGTATGCCCGTCTTCATTAGCCCAGCATAGGAGCAGAACAGTAGGACGTTAAACACCATTTCATTTCATTTCATTTCAGATAAGCGATTTGTTATAGCCCAATCCATTAGTTAGTACATACTTACAGTTTATACATGTAGTTGTAAGATCGGAGATTGGTGTGTGGGGTGGTTCTAATGTGTTCGCTTTAGATCATAAGGTTCGTCTTTAAGTTCCGTGGTTTCGCTCAACCTTATGTGTTTCCTCTGGGTCCCCCGGTTTCATTCCACAGCTAAATGACCTCGTTTTTGTCAAGTGAACACTAAACCCCATTTTGAAATGAATTTGTAATTACCTAAAGTCTTGGTGTTTAAACCCGAGGAAAAATGAGGTAAGCCAACATTTCCCCGCGGTTTAATTCATAGGGGTGACAGTACCCATGTGTAGGTATGAAAAGGCGGGAATAATTCATGGGTGTGACAGTACCCATGTGTAGGTATGAAAAGGCGGGACCGTTATGAGGAACACTATTCACTTCGAATGCCAGTTGGCAAGCTCTTACGGGACACAGGGGGGAATTAGGAATGCACGGTATTTGTATCTTTAGGACTCTTTGCTGATATTGGATAGTTTTTGACCATCGCACAGTTATTATGCCTAAATTG